GTCCTAAGGTCGTCAAATTTGATTATACGTCATCCGAGGGGAAGCCCGTACGCTCTCATAAGATTTCCTCTAACCGTCTACTTTTAGAAATTTGTCCTGGTAATTTCCTACAATTAATTTTAGCAATGTCACCCGAGGGGGAGCCCATAACCGCAATTAATTGATTTACCGACAAATTAGAAATGGAGGCCTTAGGAATTTTACAATTAACTTTAATTTAAAATCCCTTCTCAAACTTAGTATAATTTAATGAGGATTTTTAACTATTTATACAATTCCAAATTAATCTATGTTAATGCAATAATTAATTAACATGCATATTAATTCATGCAATTCTAAATTAATCTATGTCAATGCAATAATTAATTAACATGTTCAATAATTTATGCAATTCTAAATTAATCCATGCCAGTGCAATAATTAATTACATGCATAATTTATTGACACAATTCTAAATTAATTCTATGCATTACATAATTAATTAACATGCATAATTAATCTAGCAATACTAAATTAATCCCATGCAAGAACATAATTAATTAACATGCATAAATAATAATTTAATGGCATAATAAATTTAATTAAATAAATAAATAAATCCACTATTATGGCCATTAAATATTGAGTCTCCTTAAACAAGGAAACTGTGACAGTTCTTTTCCCTGTTCAACTGGAACTCCTTTAAGCAGTAGAATCCTGGTTGATCTTGTACTGCTTGGACAAGAAGGCAAAACCTCTCCACCTCCTGCAGCCAACCGCCGACTGCCGCCTGGCTGCCGCCCGGCCGCCGGCCGCCGCCGCCAGTGGTCGGAAAAACGCGCCGTTTCCCTTTTTTTTTTTTTTTTTTTAATTCTTCGAGGCTCGTTGATCTCTTGTGATCTCCCGGTTATCAACACACGATCACAACACGAAAAATATAATTTACAAAATTACATAATTCGATCCTAGATCCAACGAATGGATGTACATGTTTTCTAAACAAATAATTAAATCTATCCGGTCAACCCCCGGGCGAATAATTATTACAAACATTCATCCATAAATTCCTCGACATGCCCGAGGCTTTAAAAACAAATTTAAAACCATACATCACATTCAACAACATTCATCAAACACATAATCGGCCATAATAGTGGATTAACTATTTTCCTGCAAAACCGAGTTATGCAAATATAATCCAATATATGGCTGCGTTTGAACACATCTTGTCAAATAAAGCCGTAAAAATTCGAACTTTGTACAAAACGAATTAACCAAGTGCTCTGATACCACTTGTTGGGATCTGTGAGGATCTCGTTATGTACAAATCACGAATTCAATAGCAAACGTAAACCTATGCGCAGCGGATCTAAAGGTTTGACGTAGAGAACTTACGGCTTAAAATTTATGTAGATCTGGTTGACCACGAACGGTTGACCGCAATTGATTGACCGCAACACGCGTCTTGGGTTGCACGAACAAGATCAGATCAAAACTGGATCAAACGGATGCAAACAGATCAAAACGAAATTTTGCTGCCAGACACCTTCCGGCGGCGCGTGAGGGCGCGTGCGGCGTCGGATTCCGGCGACGTCGGCGGCGATGGAAAGCTCTCGTCGAGACGGTCGTCTGGGTATACTGTACGTCTCAATCGGACTTCCGGTTAGTTCTGTAGGTCAAAATCAATTTCGTCTCGGTTTACCTACAGATCTTCTACTGTATTACTCAATACACCCTTCTTCAACTTGTACCAGTGGAGCAACAAGAAGAAGATAAAGCTCGAATGAGATCTAGAGAGAGAGGCGTGTTTCACGTGAGAATGAATTCTATTCTCTTCTCATGAGCTTAATGATGTATATATAGAGCTACAGTAGGGACCCTAAGGAGATTAGGAAAAGGGCTCCTTAATTAATTAGACTAACTGTGGGCCAAACCCACTCCTCTAATTAATTAAATAATATTAATGGGCCACCAACATTATATTATTGCACTCCCTTTCCCTAGCCCAAATTACATTTGAGACTCCAATAATAATTACTCGATTTACCTCCCCACGTTTAAGATATAATGTCCATTAATTAATTCGATTACTGACAATCAAGAATTAATTAATTTATTATTATTTCACCGAAGCTAGCGCTCGTTCATCACATTCTTATTATGCCGGAATTTAATCCACCTGCAGGGTTTAGCATAACAATCCTTCATGAACTCACTCCGGGGACATCATCAAACTAACGCACATGGTGACCGTAAATATCCTAACAGCACATCCTATATATAATAATATTACCCAAAACAGTAGGAATATTAATCCAGCGAACTGAACCTCACCCATGTGAATCAAAGTAATATATATTATATATATCTGCCTGTTTAATATCTTACGGGTTAAGAGAACGCAGTAATTAACCGAGGCCTAGTTCATTTACGACGATCAGTATAAAATGAACTTCTCCTCTCTGGGATCCTGTTCAATACATAAATGTACTAGTGCAACTAATCAGTCAAGACAAACTGTACAGTTGACACTACAACCGTTCGGATGGGGTGTTCATGTCCATCTAGGTTGTGAACAACTATTCTTGTTCGCAAGTGACTGACAGAGTGATCTTCGGTTCGCCCGATGACGACCCACCCTATCTAAGTGCAGAACAACAGAACGTAGAACTTGTTTAATCTAACATGATTCTCATTCATAAAGGGTAAATGTGTAATAACATGCAAAGCCAAGCTTTCAGTATATAACACTAACAGGCGGAGCCCGATCTTCGTGGACGGCGACGATCAACGCGACGACAGAGGCAAGCGCGAGGAAGCTGCCTTCGCCGGCGGATATCGTGCCTGACACGATTGGGGACTTAATCACGAATATGGTCAATAGGAGGGCCCGTTTCGCATTGACATCTCCAAATTTGATAGTGAGCAAGATGACGGACCATTGTACGATGGTCTGTCGATTTTTTATGAGGAGCCTCCGGGGCCGGAGGATGAAGCTGGAACTGTTGCTATCAAAACCATTGCACTTGATGCGATTCTTGGTGACCGTGTTGGGCAGTATAGAGAATTACATGGGCACGAGTCTAACAAATGTTTGGCATATTTTAACCCATGTTTCATACCCCTTGAAGGTGGTGTTGCATCTGGATTTAAGAAATTTGAAGCAGAAGAGTTTGATATGAGGTTATATATATTGAAGCAGTTCAATGGTGCAGACTCCAATATCCAGAAAAGGACAAAGGTCTTATAAGTATTTGTGTGGGTTAGTCGAGTAACTCAAGTTGAGGAGAGGAGAAGTGTCATTCGAGCAACCGAGTATTTTGTGGCTAGCCAAGGTAGATCACAACATCATTCAACATTCGTGTTCGACAGGGGGAAACACCGGGCTATTGTTGTCATGGGGACGTCTCCAACGAGAATGGGTTGGATTCGAGGGCGAATCCTGCTCAACCGGGGGAGAATGATGTGGATAGTTTATTATTATTTTATTATTTAAATATTTAGTGACTTGGTGGACAAGATAGCTTTTAGGGTTTTGGGTGTCTTATTTAAAGACCCATATTCTTTATTATTCAGTGGTTGATTTTTGATTGAAATAAGATTTGATTGGTTTTATCGAGAGAGTATCTCTTCTATTCTTCTCATTCGTACGATTCTCTACATCAGGAAGGGAGATGATTTTTTTATATTTTCCTTGTTTGGTTGGTTGGATAAGAGGTCCCCTCCCCTCCGCATTTTTGCTCCCCTCCAAAAATGGGGGAATTTGGAATGGAGGAGAAATTTTAATAATTACAGTTATAATATTTTAGTTTTTATTTCTAACATCATTAAGGTCATTCTAACTTTATTTTCTCTTCCTTTTTATTTTCTTAGCAAACAAGGTTCACTATTTTCCCTCTACTCCCCTCTAACAAAATCATTCCAAACAAAATAAAATTATTCTACAACACCTCTCATTCTCTTCTCTCTCCTCCATTATAATCTCTCCCCGCCCTTTCTACTGGACCAATTATACCTAAGGGATTAATATATTGTTCCCAAGAAAAAGGATTTCCTAAGACTCAAATCCTACTGAAATCATTAATAGATATACATAAATCAGGTCGATCGAGTTTCGTTTATATAAGCAACAATATCTTAAAATTTTTGATCAATTTTTTATCAAGTTTAATCACATAATCCGATTCCAATCATGGTCAGATTGAACCAATTTTAGATGCTACATCAAAGTCAAAAAGATGATATGACCCGGAATTGGGTCGACCCCCACCCAAATCACGGGCATACGTAATTTTGTGGTTGAAATTAACTTAAGCAAAAAGGTTCTTAGGCAAAAGATTAGGTCTATGGAAGTATCAACTTAATCATGCACTAAGTTCCAAAAATATGTAATAACAATTTCGTTCATAAAATATAAAAATCCAAATGTGTAAAAAAAAAAGGGTAAGGACATCTCTAAAATGTGATCACTACACAATCATCAATCAAAGATACGACTTTTTTGCACCTCCACATCCTAATTGCAAAATATGGGAAAAAATAAAATAAAATAAAATAAAATTGATTGTTCCACTTTAAAAATCCTTACAAAAAATGGACAAACATCGTATTCTTAATTTCTTCTTTTGGTTAGTGATCTCATTCTCAGCCGCGTGTTCCTCTCATAAGCATAGATTCTCTCTCGCTCAATCCTATCTCCTCCTCTCTACTTACATTTTTTTTCCTAATTTATTATTTTTTTTTCTACTTTTCTTGAATCGGTGAACCTAATTTATTCTGAAAATATCTCTTGCAATCTAGCCTTGCTGCTAGCATTATAGCCTCAGCTATAATAGAAATAGACCTTTTATTCTTTCCACACAATATCATCATATACAATACAAGCATTACATATAGTTAGTCTTGTTTATTTATGTTAATATATGACAGCATTGAGTTTAAGCCAATGTATATAGTTGGTCATCTCTAATTTTTCCCAAGAATCTTACATATAATGTTTTTAAAATCATTGTTCTAGGCAATGCTGATGAGCACCATTTTGTTTATTCGCATTAATTGACTTTTTTAGTTACCTTTGTCAATTTTTATTCGAAAACCTGCACTAGAAAATCCAACGCAAAATCTCTTTGTGTATATTTACATGTTATACTTTCTTCTTTTAAACACCATGATTAGGTTTGTGACCTTCCTCATACGTTTCCTTCCAAGTTTTCAATTAATAAACATTCTTTTTGGTCCTTACTTTTTATATAAGGAAACATAAAATTCTTCTAATACAGTCTATTTTTCCAGAATGTAAACATGGAAAAATCATCTGAACCTCCACTAGAAATAGCTTACAAGAGTCTCCTCAAGCTCACGAAAACCGATCAAAAACAAGATTATTCGGTCAAAAAGCTCCCAATTGTCGAGGAATATTCTGCAGTGCCGTTGATCGACCTTCGCCAGCTGGACCTTGGAGATTCCGAGAAAAAATCGTGCGCGAATCTAATTTCCAAAGCTTCTCGAGAATGGGGATTTTTCCAAGTAGTGAACCACGGAATTCCGCACGATTTACTAGAGATGATGAGATTGGAACAAGTGAAGCTATTTAAGAAGCCGTTTGAGAAGAAGAAATCGTGCAAGGATTTGAATTTTTCGGCCGGGAGTTATAGGTGGGGTTCGCCGAGTGCTACAATGGTCGAGCAGCTTTCGTGGTCCGAAGCTTTTCATGTGCCGTTGAGCGATGTGTTGGATTCCGGTCGACACGATAGTCTGAGGTATTTAATAATATATGATGATTATTTCATGTTTAATATTTTTAGGTTATTAATTTGGGGAAATGTCTTTTTGGCTCACATCATGATTTTTTCCAGTAAGAATAATTGTTCATGAAGATCGTGATGGAAGTAGTAGTTACTTTTTAGGATTACAGAATCTGCAATATTATTAAACAAATAATTAGGTGTTTGAATAGTATGAATAATTCCAATAACAAACTATTTGAGATATGAAATTGAATAGATTAAGAAAAAAAAAAAAAGTGGTCTTGTGCATAAAAATAATTGTCCAAACCAACATATGTAAATGTAAGCCACAAAAATAATGTGCTACTTTCAAATTGTAAGGCAGATCTAGTGGTTAGACGGTAATATCTTTACAATGTATAAATTTACTTTTAGATTGAAAATGGCACAAATAACATTTTTGTTAAAAGAGTATAACATGTCTAATTTCATGACAATTAAGTAGCCTTTATACAATAATTTGCGTAGTAATAAATTGCTAACAATTGTTGTTGTAATATATATACGGATATGCACTTTTTCTTTTAAACAAATTTCTGTAGGGATCATGCAGTAGCCAGCTTGGTTTCACATATATTTGATGTGATAGGAATCTTTTCGCATTAACTACTTTACATATTGAATTGCTTCTGTGCATCTGAATGCAAAATTGTCGGGAACAAAAGACAATGCCCAAAGGGCATTCTTGTTTTTGCGCCTAGTTTGGGGACAGCTTGTGTAAAGCCCTGCATGTACGGACGTATGCAATCAAGTTACATTTATTATCATTTTGATAGTACTTCGACAACTAATATATTGGGTAATTACTAAATTACAAATTTTTCGTCTTACGATGATTTTTTCTTTAGCTCGACGATGGAGAAATTTGCCTCCGCTGTGTTCGAATTAGCACAAACATTGGCGGACATATTAGCAGAGGAAATCGGTCGTAAGACGAGATTTTTCAAAGAAACGTGTGTATCTAGCTCGTGCTATCTTCGATTGAACAGATATCTGCCATGTCCAATACACCCTCACATGTTCGGGATAATGCCTCATACCGACAGCTCTTTTCTCACGGTATTACACCAGGACAAAATTGGTGGACTTCAATTAGTGCAAGATGGGAAGTGGATTGCGGTTAAACCCAATTCCGAGGCCTTGGTTATAAATATCGGAGATTTGTTTCAGGTACATGATGTTTATGAACCTGCAAAACTTATGTGAGATTGTCTAATGGTGAGACTGATTTCGACTAATTATTAGAAAAAAAAACCATCCCGCATCTGTTCATAATTTGGATAAGGTCCTGATCTAATTAGAAGTTAAAGACTTAGTGGTCACGATACTTTTAACCAAAAAGTTTAATACTATATATTCTATTAGAATGTCTATGGTGAGACTAGTAATGACACTTTTAAGCAAAAATTAATGTGCATCACTTTTAAATATTGAACAACGTATAATCTATAAAGAAAAAAAAAAAAAAGGTTATTTTTTTGTTATTGACTAGTGATCCTATGCTTTTGAAGCAATAACATGAACATAGACTTGAATTGAACGAGGAGAAGAAGGTCAAATTATGAAGATTCTTAATATGAAGAAAGTTTTCTAAAAGGCCATTCGAGCAAGGTGTGTATATTTTAAGTTGAAATTAGCTAGCACTTGATTATTAATGATCATATATACTATACTTGTTTGTGGGTGAAGGCATGGAGCAATGGCTTTTACAAGAGTGTGGAGCATAGGGTAGTGGTGAACCCAGTGAACGAGAGATTTTCGACTGCTTACTTCTTTTGCCCGTCTCACGACACTATCATACAAAGTGAAGTCGAGCCGAGTATATATCGAGGTTTTACCTTTGGGGAGTTCATGAAACAGGTGCAAAAGGATGTCCAGATTCATGGTCACAAAGTAGGGCTTTCAAGGTTCCTTGTATCGACTAATCAGTAAACTCATTCTTCAGGGCTTTAAACTAGGGAACGAGATTTTATGTTTCACTTTTATGTTCCATTTCGTGTTTTATACCGTTGGATTAATGACACGTGTAAATGATGACGTCATATTTGTACACGTGTCATTTTATCCAACAGAGTAGAACACGAAATCTCCCAATATATTAATTCAAAACGTGCTGAGTTTAAGTGGCAGACTCGCATGATTCGAGATCCTATGTGGCAAACTTACATGCTTCGTTATTAGGCTTGGGTAGATTTTAATTTACTTCCAATCAAAAAATAATTAGGTCTAGATTATCCATAAATATATTGATTATTTATGGTCATGTTACATGTATTAATTGCATTTTAATATCATTTCTTATTATAACAATTGAATTGTAAATGTATTTTAAGAGTTAATAACTTTTGTATGTTTTATCAGTTTTACATATATAATATATCAAATTAATCATCTCTTGATGAGCTTCGATTTAATATCCATATTGTATGTATAAAAAAAGTAAATTATATTTATCTTTATAATAATAATAAAATTATTTTTTTAATATTAATTAGAAAAATATAATTATTTATCAATTAATATATTTATATTTTAAGTAATTATATTAAATAAGTTATAAAAATTACTATAATATAACATATGTAAGTCGCACAAGTAACAAGTGTCAATTTAAAATATATAATAATATATATTTTTTGTAAAAGAGTAAATAAAATTTAGAATAATTTTTTTTATTAATTTTAAAGTTTTAAAAAAAATGTAAAATATATCCAGTAACTTTGAATAAATGGCAAATCAATTTGCCCATGAACATTAGAAATCACAAAAAGGCAAACTAACTAAATAACTACATAATAATGACCTGTTAGTGAGCATTTTATACAAGTAGTTAGTAAATATTTTCTATATTTAATTTTTTTTGGCATAATTTTCTCGATTTTTATTAGTTAGTTTAGTTATTAATTTGTAGGAAATATAAAATAAAATAACTGAAACTTTGAACTCAAAATTTCCATTGATATAGAAATTGAACCTTTGAATCGGCTTGTCCAAAGATGAATAAAACGAGCTAATATAGTTCAATGATTTTGAAATTAAATTAATTTAACAGAAATTGTCCTTTATTACGATTAGGTTGTGTGTAACTTGAAATGACCATTCCAATAACAGAAGTTTGTAGTTCCTATGTTATTACTATCTCTTTGCAAGAGTGTTACACTGAATGATATAGTTCAATCTACGTATATAATAATCCGTGAGTTATCTTCTCTCAAACATGATCTTGAGTTTATTTTGGAGGATTATAAGTTATAACTACAATGTTATTTGTCTGGTATATATTGTTACTTTCCGGAAAATTTAAAATTTATATAGCTAACGTTGATCACGTAAATGTTGATATCCATGATTTTGGTCATAAATTTTAAATTGTTTTACACCTATTTTCTAAGGAAAATAATATTTTAGACCCATGAATCTCGAAATTTATCTCAATTTTATTGACATATTTTTTTTTTTATTTTAATCATAAATGTAAACTTTTTATACACCTCATATGTATAAAGAACCTAAAACATTTAGACCCATGAATGTAAAAAATAACTCAACTTTATCGTGAGCCTGTTAATATACATGCAACTACATCTACATTAAATATGTTCTCTTATTCATAGATCACAAAACTAATGCATCAAATGCAATCACGTAACATTGTGAAATATAGATAACAATTAATTTATTATACAATGTATGAGCATTTCAAAACCCAAATAATTAAATTTTAAAAGATAAATAAAATAAAGTTATGTGTAAAAGATTTCAAAATGGGTTGGGCTCGGTAAGCTAACCCACCCCGCACAGTAAGAAAAAAATTAGAAGGTGGATTTAATTCAGTAATAAGAGGCCCGCTAATAATGGGGTCTAAACTAGCCAATAAAGGTTTGAAAGAAAAGTCGACTAGGAACAACATGTGGCCCATCTCATTCAAGGTTTCTCGTCAATCTAAGCTTATTTCAATAGTAAGGTGAAGACGCTGTCCAATGAGGTAGATATTAAAGTGGAAAAGAAATACCAAAATTATCCCTAATATCACGGCTTTTTATAAAATTTTAATTTAATCACGATCGTTTCATTCTTGAAATTATGTCACAATTTTCAATTTATTGCAAGTCAGATACACGAGTTCTGAAAATCAACCCGAGAAAAGTTGATATAGCCAAAGAACAAACTGAAGATTGTGATATAATTTGCACGAGTTCTACAAATCTATACACCAATTTGCAACAAAAGGAAGATTCTGATATAGTTTGCAAAATTGAAAAGATCGTGATTAAGTTGTAATTTTAAAAATGATCGTGATATTAATTAAGGACAATTTTGTCAAAAGACATAACATACAAGTGTATATATGATATGTGTATAAATCGAGAATTACTATTGCATTCTCAGACTATCCCAAATGAACCACGACTTCTGTTAGACTCAATATAATTTCTCGTGTTTAAGATATCGCACATCCATTAAATTAGTAAAGCTTCTAACTGCTTTAATTAATTAAATCTTTTATTCTTAAAGTAGTAACACTCAACCTTATTATAATACGAATTAAATCCATTTTCATAGTTTGATACGATAATCCTTATGAGTTCCTCAAGGGGACGTCATCAAACTTGGATGACCAGGACACAGTGTCGTGATGCCAATAAGAAGTTATCATGCAGATAATGTTGTTACATAAGATACGGAGCATATTGAACCAAATTTTGTTCTCACCTATGGTAAGTCAAAGTAACAAACAAATATTTCACATATCTAAGTATCACATATAGACTGGTAGGTTTAAGAATTAGTAAAGTAACCGAGACCATGGTTCTTTATGACAGTCATAACATAATAACACGTCTCAATTCTTTCAATGCGATGCATGGCACTAGTATAAACTAATAGCCAACACAAGCTACATACCACCTTATAGTACAACCTAAACCACTAGTCATGTCCATAACTATTAAGTCGTGAATAGCATTTGTATGGAATCGACATATAATTTTCTGTGTGACTACTAACACACCACATTGTAAACTACAAGATAACTGGACATTAACAAACATATAACCATAAAGAATGCAAAAATGTGATAACGTTTATTTTAGCAAACAAGGAAATCAAGTAAATATTTTCTAACAACTCCCATAAAAGTTTGTTTTACAATATATTACAATAGACATTTATCAACCGGGTGATTGTGCTATAATGATTAGTTATACAAGTCGATCTCAAACATGTAATCTGAAA